GCGATGATCCATATTTTGAATTTTATCTGCTTGGAGAGTAGGGATGACGGGCTGGGATAGCCATGTTTCAGTTTGTATTCGAGGGGGACAATCAGAGGTGATTTCCAGTTCTGGAGTATCTGATTCAATGTATTCGTTAGACTCGTCAGACATTTCAAAGTCAAGAAGCATCCACCGAATTTGAAGACGAAATAGGATGAATACTTTGTGAGAGTAACAGTGAATATAATAAGAATGAACCGATAAGCAGGGTCAAACCTGGGGTGTGGCACGCCACACCTGGGGGGTTGTAGAGGGGTCAGGAAGAGGGGGGTCGTTATCGAGGTGATAGTGATGTTAGCGACATGATGTCAGTCAACAATGTCTGATAGGCCCGTGCAATATACCAGCGCTGATGTTTTGACCTAAAGTCGTACACGCACAGTAAGCATACTAAAAAAATCCTTGAAGCATGAGAGCATCATTTTCGTAATAATTACGTCAAATTACCCCTGTGGGCCAAGCTTCAGCGAATTTTGAGGTTTCCAAATATTGCGACTCTCGAGTGAGGTGGTCATTTTCGAGCATACTAACTTTGTTTCAAAGGTGAGTAAACTAAGTCTTTTCGCACTCATTACAAAGTACTACTTTTTCTTTGCTCACATTAGAAATCCCACTTTAAATAACGTCTAAGCTATGGAATTACAAGCAAGCCAAAATCTCATTTATTCCATTTTCCGCTTTCAATATCTCAGATTAGAGAGGACCAGTCAGGCCCAAATCACTTTTATATGAATTACGAGGCTTAATTTATCAAGCATATTTATTCTTGCTGCCTTCCCTCGCAATTCACATAGTAGCGCAGACTTAGCATATTACCGTAATCCAATATTTTCGCAGTGTTTTCCATTTGCTTAGCTAAGGAAAAACAACTATATCTTTCCCTAGTAGAAACAGTCTTGAATGAAATCCCTGATATGTGGAAAATAAGGTTTAGCAGTAGCAATCATATAAAAAAGACAGAGATTTGAATGCTTTGAAGGTAAGTTAATGGGGGTGTGGCACAACTCCTAAAAAGGTGTGGCGGCCACTGCTTTTTAGGGGTTGTACCACATCCTATTAACTCGCCTCCAAAAAATTTTAGGGAACAAAATACATATAGTTTAATAGACTGAGTCTTGTAGTTTTCGTAGGAATAATTTGGGCCTGGTTTATCCTCTTCATTTTGAGTAAAAGCTAGTGAAAGTGCAGCTATTGGAAGCCAAAAATGGGACAAACGAGATTTTGGCCTGCTTTTAAGTCCATAGTTTGAGGTTATTTGAAGCAGGCTTCATGGTATCGGCAAATAGGGAGGAGTGTTTTGTATTGAGTACAAAAAAGTTAGCTAATTCACTTTGAAGTATAGTCACTCATGTTTGAAAATGATCACTGCACCTGGGTGGCCCAAAATTGGGAACCTTCCGATTTTGCTAAAACTTGGCCCATGGTGGTTATTTAACATGATAATCACAAATGTGTGCCTATTTATGCATGGTAGACCTTTATGTCATGCCAACGGAAGGCAAACGATGATGCGGTGGAGGGGGGGGGGGGTCGTATTCGGCACTTCTGTGCCACACCCCTTGCTCGACACTGCCAATAAGTCGTGATTTCTAGAACTGCAAAGGTTTGGCCGCAAAATGTCTAAAGAATACAAAAAAATTCGACTGCAAATTGCGTGGATATTCCAGAAAATATGTGCAAAAAAGTGAAGAGCGCTGGAGATGTCAAAAGTGGGTCTTACTAGAATGCACATCAAGAAAAGAGGCAACAAAAATGTGATCCGGAAGCAGATTCACTGGCTCATCATCACTATTCCGCATACATATGTATCCCTCAGAGTATACAAGCAGTTTGCGGATACATGCGATAAAAAGTGGGGCTACTCTTATATCAAAGTTCAGAAATTCAAGACAGTCAAACCGAAGTTGAAGCAATCTGTCAACCGCGTTGCCTGAATGAAGCGTATGAATACTTGTGATATCAAGAGAATGTTTATCAATGTGTTCGCACTCATGATAAAGGAGAGAGACCAATTATTTTCTACGCATAACCGATTTCGGGGCCAAGAACTAAACCGGATGTGTGACTGGTGCCCCGCGTACTCAACCCTTTCATCAGTAGTTCCCAAGGAAGTGCAAAATAATCTAAGATGGATGAGTAATAGAGAGAATAAAGTAGGCCAGCCATATACCACCTCCAATCAGGTAACAATAATCAGTCAAGAGAGTATTTATTAGTGCATTTTGAATTCGAAATTTTCCCTCCCAATAGATCACTGGTTTATAGAGCATACTAACTTATCAACAAATTAACTCGCCTACTCCATGGGATTGAAGCGAACAGATGGGTAGATGTACAGATCGGTACTGTATTCAGTGTCTAAATTGAGCTGCCATATTGAAACAATCTGATTATAGTGATTCAAAAAAAGAACTAAAGGCTTCCCTCATTGCATGAACTAAGAAGGGAAAAAAGGGATACTACAAATCCATACTTGCGTAAGATGTAGGGACGATGTATCAATGATTTTCAGCACGTACTGATTAGCTGTACTTCATCCCATCCACTGTATTTGTTAGTAACTTCCGACTGTGATGTTCTATTTTTAAAACTAGGTTATTCAATTCAGTACAAGTCCTATAGATTCTTATCATTTCTCCTACCAAGGTATTCTTTGATATGTACCTAGGTATATCAGAACATTAATGAGGATATCTGATTACTCTGTTACTCTGAAGTTATAGTTATCGTTTTGTCATACAAGCTAATACTAATTTAATCTTTATGTGCAAATCCAAGAAGGTAGCTTCTTTGACGTTAGCATTAGTCTTGTCTATTGTCAAAGAACTGTGATAGACATCATGTAACGAATCCTCAAATTTACATTTGCTGACAGATGTAAAAAAATCAATGTATCTGTCTGTGTTATTGAAAGCAAGTGTATTTGCCCTAGTTAAGAAACCTGTTCTACTTCTAATGTAATTAGATTCCATGAAGGCTAATGTTAGTTCAGCTGTTTAGGGGCTAGGAGATGCTTCCTGTGGAATCCCTTTGACTTGACGATAGATTCTACCCAAATAACAAAGGTAAATTGAGTTAGGTAAGGAATCTACCATGTACATTATATTCTCTATTCTAAGTACCGTAGTAATATAGTAGTAATATCCAGGGTCAAGCGTGGGGTGCGGCACGCCACACCTGGGGGGTCGTATTGAGGAGTCAAAAGGGGAGGGGGTCGTAGTTGGGTAATCTGATAATAGTGATAATATGATATTCGTATCATATCCATAACATGTCAAATAACCCCTGTAGACAAAGTTTGAGCGAATTCTGAAGATTCAAGATATTAGGCTACCTAAATGAAATGGTCAAATTCCAACATGGTCAACTTTGTTTCAAAGGTGAATTAGCTATCCATTTTTGCACTCAAGACAAAGCACTACTCCTTATTTGTCAACCTCAAGAATCCTCTTCAGAAGACCTGCAAACTGTAGAATTAGAAGCCAACCAATATCTCGTTTTTCCCATTTTTCGCTTTTGATCGCTGTGCTTTCACCAAATATTACTTAGAGCTAAGAAGACAAATCAGGCTCCAAACAGTCCTATGGAATCTGCAAGGTTTAGGCTATCGATTCATTTGAATACTGTCCGCTAAAAATGTTTTTTTGATATAGTTAATGGGGTGTGCCGCACCCCCTTAACTTGCTTTCAAAATCCAGAAAGCGCTCCATTGCTGGTATGAGTATTGAGCACATAGCTTCTTCTTGCTACATTGGAAATTTGGAGCCGAAAGCCCCACCCATAAGAAAATTATGGCCCTTTCAATATGCCCATTCAGATCAAAATCAGCCGTCAAATTACGTGTGATTGTAAAGTGCAGTCACAGAAAATCGGGCGTACACCTCTCAGAAATCTGAAAACTCTCTAGAAAAAGATAGTGTCCTCCAGAATGTCACACTTTGAGGTCCAGAGGTTAAGAGGAGGAAGAAGGGGTCGTTTGTGGGCTTTCATGGGAGGGGGGGGGGGGTTTCGAAAGACTTGTGCCTGACCTCTTTCTCAACTTTGGTAATGCTATCTTAGGTATATACTTCAGAGGGGAGGGGGTCTTATTAAGACAGCAATCAGGGGGGGGGTCGTAACCAGCGATCGTGTGCCACACCCCTTGCTTGACCCTGGTAATATCTGTCCTGAAATACATCTTCAGGATGACATGTTGAACGTGTCTGACAGATTTTCAAGCATGTCAACAGGACTTGACGTGATCTTCAATACACTTGTTTCAAGCCCTGCCCTTTCCTAAAGAAATCGCCATAATTCTTTTTAGAAATAATTTTTTGCGAGCGTAATGATTTGTTGGCAATCTACACAACTTTGGCAGTACTACGCTAATTCAGAATTTTTGCAGCAAAATGAGAAAGGTTTTCAGCCGAAAATCGAAAACCTCTCCTTTTGGGAACCCCTATTGAGAAAATATAGCTCATTTTGAAATATGGAAAATATTTCTCATTTTGCTCATTATGTATTTGATTGTCTTCTAAGAGTGGGAGATTGCAGAGATTGCACAAAATTCCTTCACACAAAAATTTCTGCAAATAAGTTCCAAAAACCCATTGAAATCACCGCCTTAAAAAATTATTTTTCCAAAGTTAATGTTTTTTTCGCCAGCAATAGTCGAGGCTTTTCTAAGAAAAAAATATGTTTTTAAAAATTTCCGTTTCCAATATGTGAATTGTGGGTGTAGAGTAAACCGGAAAGTTCCACACTCTCTTGTTCCTTTGAGTGTTTACTTTAGACATAAGTAATGATTAAGGTTGACTAAGGTTTTTCAACAGAATCCTGAGTTGAGCGCAAATCGTGCGCACCTTCAAATCTGCTGATCTCATCTTCCCGACAACTATCTATACCGAATCTCGATCGGTGAATATGTGAAAGTGAGAAGATACTGGATAAAGCCTTCAGTCGCTTCGAGTGAACAAAGAATGAGGTAAGCTTCTTCAACAGAAAATTTTTGGCTTTTTGTAACATTACTAAGTTTTTTTTTCGAGAAGCGCCAAGAAGTACAATGTTCTTTAAGATTTTTCCTTTGCAATTTCTCCATAAAACTCTAGAAGTGACTAAGCGAGCATCCGAAAAAAATGGAATATTTACTTTACTGCATTGCTTCGACTTGTATGCAACTATTACATTTTTTCAAAGCGAATCATTTCAGATATGTGTCGCTGTCGGATTCGAACGATGATGACTGCGTCAATGCAAACCATGAAATTGCAGCAACTCGTCCGATTTTGAGAAGGTTAGTTTTTTTCGTTGTTTTAGAAGTGGCTTTTACCTTTTGCTCAACATATTTATGCTATAATTCATTTTAAACAAAATATCATTCATGTTCTATTACTTGCTTTTAACGTCACATTGCTTTGTTACATTTGATATTTTATCTTTTCAGCGGCAAGTTACCAGAAAGACGGAAATATCTGATGGCAGGTGCGACTATTATGACAGTTTTCCTAATTTATGTCATTCTAAAAAGCGACAAGTCATCCATTCCCATTGTAAGTACCGTCGATTTCTCGTCAGTCGGCACACGTTTATTGTTTGAGTTTTCAGAGACTTTCTAAGGAAGAATTATTGAAAATTGAGGAAAACTATCGGAAGCAAGACTTGATTAAAAAAGAGGTTGAAATGAAACTCGACCACATTGATAACATCAAGGCTAATAATTCTGATGTGAGTAATTTCATCAAAGTTCAATTTCGGGGCCTACAAATGGTGGTGATGCTTGCGAAAAAGTAATTCCAAGCTCCACCCACCCCTATTTGCGATCTTATATCACGCCGTGACCTGTTTTGACCATGGTCCCGCTACTCTTTCTGCCATTGAAGCGCAAGAGGCAAAGCTTCTGTTTTGAGCGGAAAAATGACATTGCCACCTCCCTTTCATTTTGATTGGAGGCGAGCTGCTCAAAATTTAGAAGCTTCTGAAGTACAGCGCCAAAACTCACCCTCTTCTAAAAGCTGCTGGAGATGTGGGGGTCCCAACACGATGGAAGCGAGGAATGGGTGCAGTTTGCCTACTCATCAGAGGTGCGATAGGGGGAGCCGGGTCCCCCAAAAGTGAAGGTGGTTTCAGCTACCACTGGCCGGCCAAAAGTGAAGGTGGTAGTGTCGGACACTCACCTCCCAAAAACGTCGACGGGGGGGGGGGGGGGGGGGGGGGGGAGGTGCGGGGGGAGGATAGAACGGACGAACGGAGCTATCTTTCTAGGTCTAACGTCAACCCAACGGCCCTCTTTAGGGCCACAGATACGATGAATATTAAAAATATCTATAAATTTTATTTATAAAAATTTAAAATAGACGTGTTTAGTATATGGTGTATTTGGAAGTAGAAGTTTGTTGGACTGTACGGATTTTATTAAGCAAATTTTGTTATAACGTACAGCGAAGAAAGTAGATCGATCCAGGCAGTAACGGCCGAGAATCAGAATTTCGAATAAATAAATAGTGAAAAATCATGCAAAATTTCCACTGTTATAAATCTGTTGTTTGAAGATGTCAGCAGTTGCGACTTCATAGGTTTTAAAGAGTAAATGTTGCTCTATCAGCTAGTGAAGGAATCGGGTTGATTTAAAAGAAGTCGTTGAAAACCAGAGTTCTAAAACTTTACGCCATTTTTGCGTGTTTTTTGACTGTTGAGAGTTAAACTCTTATAAATCTTGAATGTGGAAGTGTATGATGTTGCGACTTCATAGGTTTTATAGAGTAAGGTTTGCCTTATCAGAATATGTCTTGTCCGTTCCGATCCATTGAAACACCTCCGAGATCCAGAGTCATGAAAAAGCAGGTAAAAAAGAGCTTTTTGAACTTCAACAGCTCATAACTTCTTCAGGATTGCACAAATCATGTTGCGACTTCATAGGTTAGATTCTTCTCGTCAAGAGCTTTCAGATGATATATAATATGTGGGGGTTTCGCGCCTCTTACGGCATATGCCCGGGGGGGGAGACTTTTTAGGCCAAAGTCTCCCCCGGCAGCCTCCAGCCAATACATTAAAATGGGCGAGGGGGAGACTTTGGCCTAAAAAGTCTCCCCCCCCCCGGTCATAATTCGCAGGAGGCTCTAAACCCCCACATATTATATATCATCTGAAAGCCCTTGATGAGAGGAATCTAACCTATGAAGTCGCAACATGATTCATGCAGTTCTGAAGAAGTTATGAGCTGTTGAAGTTCAAAAAGCTCTTTTTTACCTGCTTTTTCATGACTCTGGATCTCGGAGGTGTTTCAATGGATCGGAACGGACAAGACATATTCTGATAAGGCAAACCTTACTCTATAAAACCTATGGAGTCGCAACATCATACACTTCCACATTCAAGATTTATAAGAGTTTAACTCTCAACAGTCAAAAAACACGCAAAAATGGCGTAAAGTTTTAGAACTCTGGTTTTCAACGACTATCTCTTAAATCAACCCGATTCCTTCACTAGCTGATAGAGCAACATCTACTCTTCAAAACCTATGAAGTCGCAACTGCTGACATCTTCAAACAACAGATTTATAACAGTGGAAATTTCGCATGATTTTTCACTATTTAAATATTCAAAATTCTGGTTCTCCGCCGTTACTGCCTGGATCGACCTACTTCCTTCGCTATACGTTATAACATAATTTGCTTAATAAAATCCGTACAGTTTTGCTAAGCTTTACTTCCAAATACACCATTTACTAAAAACCTTTATTTTAAATATATATGCCGCCGTATACATAAATATATGCTTTCAATAATCTTTTTTGCGTTTGTTTTGCTTATTTTCCTTCTTTGTCGTCCAGCGAAAAATTTTTTATTCCAAAAGTGAAGGTGGTCACCCCGTACCAGCTCAAAAGTGAAGGTAGGGGGAGACTTGGCTCCCCCTATCGCACCTCTGCTACTCATGCACATGCTTCCCAAACAGGACTTGCTTTTAAAGTAATGCAAATAACTTTAATTTTTAGAAATTACCGCCACGAAAATTTACTGGTAAAACCGCATATACGATGTGTCGATCTGGCGCCGGCAATTGCGTGCAACGTTACGCCAGGATATTCCCATTCCTTGTGGTATGTTAAGATAATCTAGAAAGATAAGTACATGTGTATCTCTTCCATAAAACAATTTCTAACCTATGATAACGCTTATTGTTTTGTAGGCGGCTCCCAAATACAAATTGATGGCATGCTTGATCCAAAAAAGTATGGCCACAGTGATGTCGGCAATCATGTGTTATCTGTTTCGTGAAAAGGAATTTATCAGTCACGGACGTAGCATACTTAGTGAATTCGCCAATAATAAGTAGGTTTCGTCATAAACGTTCGAAGCACTCACAATGACCAAGCTGCTGGAATTGCGACACTGTAATTGAGGGGAAACTTATTCATACAAATCGAAAGTACTGAATTACCTTGCAGCTTTTGTGAGAAGAAGAATAAACACGGAGACGTAGAAGGAATGAAAATACATTTGAATATCACGGATCTTTCTGCATGGAAATTTATAATGGTGACTCGGGAGCCAGTGGATCGTTTCCTGTCGGGTTTTCTCGATCGCTGCATACGGTATGTGATAAAGCTGAATTTTCGAATAAAAAATCTGGAAGAAAGGTCATTCAAAGGCCAAGTCAGATTGCAGATTAATTGAGTTCTGACTTTCAACACTCATAAAATTTCAAATTCGTTTTTGTTGACTACTGCAGATTTTTATGAATAAGGGAAGGTAGAAAAGCTTGTATCTTGCAATTTAAAGGACCCTAAACTACGTTGCTTCAAAAAATCCGAGTTTTTGTCTAAAATACTTATCTAACTACAAGAGAACCACGTTGAAAGTCCCTAAACTTGCAAAGAATTCCATCTCTTTGTGGTTGCGTTTACAAAAAAGTTACTTTATTCAAAGAGCCAATTCAACTAAAAGATATGAGGAAAATCGACGGTGCTGTTCTAAAAACCCGTCATCGCGAGCAAATGAAATCTCATAGCACTCCTTCCTAGTTCTTCGATCCCTAGGTTTCATGAAACCCTTGTTTAGCGCTGCAATACCATTTTTTTTGAAAACATCTTCAACTTGGAATCTTTGAGATATGCAATGAAAAACGTAACTCATCCATTTGTTTGATTTATAGTTGGTGTCCTAGCGTTAGTCAAGAGATTTGTGCTTCTCAACACGAAAATTATTGAACTCGTTTTAGAGCTGGAGATTCATGCAACGGTTGCGGAAACAATATGACATGTTTTCTTGAGACAGAGTATGAGAGGTGAATAAATGTTACTTTTATTATATTTCCTGTTCGCTTAGAGTGACTTCATTCAGAGCACTAGATTTCGCCTACGCCGAGAGGATGCATTTTGAAAAACCGACTCTTTCTTTTGAAGATCTTCACATATTTCCACAAACTTGGTACAACTAATCTTTTCAAACATTAGGACGAAAACTATATTCCAACTGGTTGAAATTATGTATTTCCAGGCACTGCAGTATGCAAAGGCATTACGATTACAAATTTATACGATACTCAAGTGATCCAAGTGAAACGCTGTTGGAAGATTTGTCTCAAGTACTTCGAGCACAAAATGTAACTTTACGGGCTGTTCTTACTCCACCTTTTTTCAATTGCTATTCCTTTCTAGGTTTCCGATTCTTCAATCGACTACATTGCTGAATCACTGAAGTCTGGTCGAACTTTTCACAGTACAGTAACCAGTTCAGCAAGAGCTTTTCTTGAACAACGTCTTAGAAGCAGCCCATACTTGATGGAGTTGCTCGTTCGGTTATTTTATCACGATTATATAATGCTAGGCTATGAAATGCCTAAATTAGATTTTGATGCATAGCAATTTACGAATGATGGGTAGAAGGGTTGATCTGCAGAAAATGGGGACGCGAAAGTGGCTAACTCCGCCTATGCCACGCCCCATCTTGTCGTTTTTAAGGGTTTTCAGAGTTTTGTAGAAGATAGGATATAGCTGGGCGGCTTTGAAGCGTGTGTGAAATTACGTTTGTGATTTTTGTGTAAGAATTTGAATAAACGCCAAAGTTTTTTACTGCTGTTTTTTAGTTGCTTTTTAATTATTGTACCTAGCGCCTCTAAAGTTAAAAGCAATCAGAAATACTGACCTTCCAGACTTCCGATTTTAGCAAAAAAATCGATACAATCAATATTTTCCGGTTTATACACTTGCGATGATGGCAGAAAGCATATTCATAGCTCTTTATCAAGATAATTTCAAGAACAATGAAACAAATTATTATAAAAGAAATACTAGCACATATATACAAGAGACGATTCATCCAACAGGGCATGGGTCTACCAAAAAAAGAAGAAATCACCTTTCAACCCGAAAGTCACTCGCGGAGGTCAAAAGCGAAGGGACATGGCGCGCGATTTACGCAATGGATATGAGTGGACGGGGTGGGATTACGGAGATTAAAGAAAACAAATATCAAAACGAACTCGTCCAAAAATGATGTTACACTTACAAAAACAATTTGAACAACAGAAACACTTAGGTAACCAAAAAGATACATAACCGTTTGGCTGAGATCACAGCAGAGATCAAAGCATCGACAGCAATTATCGGTTCGGTACACGCACTCGGGCGCTCCAGTTAGGCTGCGTTCATAATGATCCCGAAGTCTGGGAACAGTTCCAGCCAGCGCTTGAAATGAGCGCTGTGCTGAAACCGTTCCCGGATTTCGAAATCAGTCTGAACGCAGCCTTAGGGAAAGCCACGCCCCTATTGATTTTTGTTGCTGTGTGGCCGTAGAGCGCTTTATGCTCTCAGCCAACGTACGCGTTAGATGCGCTTCAATGGCGCACACTTTCGAGAAAAACTAGAGATTCAGCATCAACTATACCACCTGTGGGTGCAGTAGCCGAGGTGGATGGAGTCGCTGGTGAAGATGGCATAATTGTGCTTGACTAACAGAGGCCATACCCATTAAGGGAGGGCCCATGCTTGAAGCTGGTGCTCACATTAGGCCTAAGGTATACCTCCCGCGATCCCAGTCGCGTCGCCTATTCCAACTCGGACATATGTTCCGAGTCCGCAGCGCAGGCTCCTCCAATTGTGTGGTCCCGCCGCGTCTGTGTTAGATTGACGCCGCGACGGATTGCGGGCCGTTTTTGGACGGGCATACCTCAGCAGGGATATTGTCGCGAGATCGCTGAAACTCAGCGATCTCGCCGTCGCTAGTTCCGACCGCGATGAGCGAATCGCTCGAATAGATTCTTCTTTGTTATGAAGTTTTGTATTTCTTTGCAAATGCAAGTTTTAATTAGGACTATTCCATCTCACACGCGCTTCTTTTCTGCACGAAAGAAGGTAGGTAATCGAACATTTCATACTATTAGTCCTTGAAAACAACAGTTGCGAGTTATGTAGTACCAGTGCGTCACCTCTGCTTCGCAGAGGCTCGCACTGGCCCTATTTTCTCTATGCCTTACTCATTCCAGCAAGATAATGACATTGAAACTCACCGCGCTATGCAGGCCATCACGAATAATATGTAAACGACTACTCATTCCGAAAGCTTTTTTGTGAGAGATCGGTATTTTCGCGTGGATGAAACTTTTCCAAGAAGAATAAATGCAAATTTGGATTGCTTTTTGGACTTTTTATGGTTTGGTAGTCGCCATAACGACGATGATCACCGTGTGCTACATCTCTGCGCAAAAATCTTCTCAAATGATTGGGTATTGAAAAATTGAACATTTACGCAACTAATTTTTTTCGGCGCCATTTTCGTGCAGTAATCAATTTAATTTAATTTGTTGGGCTAAAGTCCATGGCTTGCACATTAACTTGTTAATCATATCCATGACTTCGCAAAAAGTAGTGGTACAGGCCCAATTTTGCTGGCCAGAAACCAAGTGGATCCGTTTGAGGCGCAGATTTTGAGGGGTCCACTCAACGGATCCGCTCGTGTTTTTACATAGCGGCAACAGCGCTAACAAAGATAAAGCAAAGACGGTATAATGCCTCAGATCGTCAAGAATAAGTGGCAGAGTCTACAGTTTCAACCCGCTGTAAAGCGAAATTGTATTGATGAGCTCTTGCGTTGCAAGTAGCTGCGTCGGGGCCGTAGTTGCATTCTATTGTTTGCATGTCATTCCGTTCTCTTCGTTAGTTTTTTAATCTTTTTTCGAGAAGCGCACAGCTCAATTCGGATGCCTTAGCCACACCGGATTGAGACTGATTATGCCTATAACAAATGGTTGCAGGACTTACCACTTCGAATAAATCGATCAAAATGAACCATTGCTCTCAAAACCGTACGACATTCTTGATTCAAGTTTATGGCTATATGCACATAGATAAGCTCGGTTCCAACGTTTCCATACTCACTTGCTTCTTCTTAGCTTTCTCGAAAAAGATGAGTCGGCCACGGCCAGTGAAAACATTCTCTGACAGATTTATAATCTTTCCATAGTTTTTGATGTGTGGGAACAAAATTTGCACTGTTTGTGCAATAGCTTAGTTGAAATTCGAATGTCAACTATCACAAAACTTTAAGCACCACAATAGATGTTGGGCTTGCCTTTGTTGACGCACATGCATGTAACTACTGTTGCCGCTTTGGTGTTTTGTAATCAGGTAAAGTAAATCTGTGCTGGCTTGCTTACATTGAGCAAGTTTTCTGCTATCGAGTTGGGAGTCCCGCTTCTTAACTACTCTCACGTCAGCAATGAAACTCACCGAACACAATGGATGAAATGCTAGGAACAATTCATTTCAAATGCTCTGTCACAAGTGGCCGGTAATTTTGGACGAAAAGAACATTCCAAATGAACAATAAATGCTTTTTTCAAGAAGTCACTAAGCTCTAAATGAATTGATAGCTGGCGCCTTGAAGACTATTTGTGGTGGTCTACATCTGTGCGCAAAAATTTTTCAAGTTTGAATAGAACATCAAAAAATTGAAGATTTAACCAACTGGACCTTTTTGGCGCCGTTTTCGCATGTGCATAAACCTTTTCAATTGCTTCTTCAGCCAAAAGGCACGTTTTGCAGACTGGCACATCAAACATATCCATAAGTTTGCAAAAAGTTTCATAAGGACCCAATTGTGCTGGCGAGAAGAAGTGTGGATCCGCATGACGCGCAATTTCTAAAGGATCCGCTCAACGGTTTCACTTATGCTTTTGCACAATAGACTTGCATGCTGCTAGCATGTGCCGTGCCAAATTTGGGCCCAAGAAATCGGCTGGAACTCGCTCTACGAATTTCGTAACGGACAGACACACACACACGTACAAAAAGACGTAAACAACCTTAGGCCGTTATTATAAGTCACCAGTGCGTCACCTCTGCTTCGCAGAGGCTCGCACTGGCCCTACTTTCTGTATGCCTTCTCATTCCCGCATAATAATGACATTGGAACTCACCGCGCTATGCAGGCTATCGCGAATGATCTGTAAACAATTACTCATTCCGAGAGCTTTTTTGTGTGGGATCGGTATTTTCGCGTGGATGAAACTTTTCCGAGACAAATGCAAATTTGGATCAATTTTTGGACCTTTTGCGGCTTGGTAGTTGCCATAACGACGGTGATCACCATGAGCTACATCTCTGTGCAATAATCTTTTCAAATGATTAGGTAAAATCTTGGCAAATTGAACATTTACGCAACTAATTTTTTCGGCGCCATTTTCGTAAAGTAATCAACTTCAGTTCAATTTTCTCGGCTAAAGTGCATGGCTTGCACATTAGCTTGTTAATCATATCTATGATTTCGCAGAAATTGGTGGTAAAGGACCAATTTTGCTGGCCAAAAGCCATGTGGATCCGTTTGAAGCGCAATTTTTGAGGGATCCACTCAACAAATCCGCTCGTGCTTTTGCATAGCGGACCTTTATGCTGCTGGCATGTGCTGTGCAGAATTTGGGCTCAAGAAATTCGCTGGAACTCGCTGTACGAATTTCGTAACGGACAGACAGACACACACACAAAAAAACGTAAACAACCCTTAGCCCGTTATTATAAGTCATGATGATGGAATGCTTCTCATATGTCACCTCACCCTCTGTGTTACCTTCTGCTGTTCTCGCATACACTAATCTTTCCCTGTTCTTTTTTTAATAACAAATGGTGACCAATCTCAAATGTTCTTGCTATAATCTTTGAAGCAGATTAGATGTGCATTGTTGGTTGTTCGGGCATATAAATACGTATACGCTCGCAGATTGGCATACATGGGCTCGCGCAGCACTCGTTGTTGAAACAGCCTACCCAGAGTTTTTTACAAGGCCAAACGCATGATTCAAATGCTACAAAGCTAATGTATATGCCTACCAGTGATTGAAGGAGAACTCAACTTTATAAACTAGTTTTTGTTTTCATCGCAGATGTAACTACTAAACTTGCGTCAGTAGAAAAACGTTGGTAAATACTGGGACGTGTGAATCCATATCCTTTCTTGTTTGATGTAATGTTCGTTCAAAGCATATGGCGCCACATTCTGCTCGAATTCTCTCGAATAAATGCGCTTTAGAGAATTTAGCGCAAGTTTTCCAAAACTGCGTATAATGTGGTATGGTGTGTGAGCGTTCACAAAATCGCTACGGGTATGCCCAAGAGTCGAGCGATGGGCGATTTTGACGTAATGGACGGTCGCCGAGGTAGTCTGGTCGCAGCGATCAAAATTCGTGACGATTGGATCGCTGGAAGTATGCCTTAGGCTTTACATTGGACATCGATTGTTGCGTCAGCAGGTTTGGCTAAGGCAACGGAATCGGCGCTACCAAGGACAGAAGAGGAGCGATTGAGGAGAGCGGCATAATTCTGTAAACTTATGTCATTTTCTGTGGAATTAACGTTTTCTTACGACATAAAATGGTAGATTCAAGTAAAAAGTACAGCCTTTCAGTCACCCCGAACGCTGTGCTAAGCGCTACCAAAGAAGCAATCAGTCCTTGCAAATACTACTTACACACACCCTCTACTACTTCTGAGACGGGTGGAGGACTATATGTCGCCGAAAGGGATGGCCCCAGGCTAACATTCCCAACAGGCTACGCAGCCATACTCAAAGACGCTACTGATTTATATCAACCGCTGTCGCGCGGGGTGGGAGCTATCGGTGACTTATGATCCCGTACCCTTCAGTTGTTGCAGAAATTGACCACGCCCCTTTTTGACTTACATCTAACCAGAGGTGCGATAGTCGGAGCCGGATACTCCACTTTTGAGCTGGTACAGGATGACCACCTTCACTTTTGGGTTTTGATTTTTTTTGCTGAAACTGAAAAAAAGGAAATTAAGCAAAACGAACGCAAAAGAAAGTATCGAGAGCATATTTTATGTAGTTCACTTTTAGGAACTCGCC